CCCTTCACACAGGCCGCGGCGCACGCTCCTCCCGCAGCAGGCAGTGTGGTCGGTCGGCATCCGACTGGAGGACGCCCCGTCACGTAAGTATGTAAACCGTTCTGCGTTCATTTTCACACCCGAACCAGATCTGGATAAGTTTTTTCCCCCTCTCTTCATTTGCGCTCTCAGCCACGCTGCTTCCCGCTTCCTCTGTTTTGACTCCAGCCGGTTACGTCATCAAAAAGAATTGTGCGGTTGGCCGGTAGACTACAGATCTCTATCATAGGACAAATTTATATCGTTTCTACCGTATATCGTTTATATCGCGCATTCCTAACATCCGCTTTATTTTGATATTGTTGAAAATTTGAGAAATGTTTCTGTTTGTTGTTGAAACTGTTTTGCAATATAAATAAAACTCTTTTGTACTTCTGTTATGTTCATTTGCACTGCAGCAAAAACGCAGGGTTTGATGATGATTACAGTTTTCTGCTAAATAAAAGCTCTAAAAATGACATTATCTTTGCTTTTTATGATAATTTTCTACCGCGATATATACCGTTACTGTGAAGGGATTCAATTTATGCCGTGAAATGAATTTGAGGTCATACCACCCAGCCCTACTGTCACTAATACTGTAAGTCAAGTTATTTTTTGCTCGATTTTTATAAACTATGGTTAAAAATAAAGCTGAGGAACTCGTGAATGTTCTGTTTTGTGGAAACTGATCATTAAYAATGAATTGGCTWYATTTTACCAAAAATWAACCAAAGCAAGTAAAATTCAGACTCACAGCAGCAAAGCTTTTTTGACAGGTTGACGCCTCATAAATCTAATTTTCAGGGACTGATCGCGTTGTGTTGTAGACAGCTGTCTATAATTTCKGTTAGTTTATCAGAAAACTCTGTTCATGGGTACAGAGCTATCAGTTAKGCTAATATTAGCTGCTAAAATGTTAGTTTTATCAGTTTTTTCATCCTTATGTTGATTTCACAACATAATGCCAGCACCGCGGTTTAAAATCAGAAAAAGTTTCTCTGAATCAATAAAAGCCAGTTCATGAAGTGAACAGAAGAAGACGGGGCCAGTTCTTGGACGTCTGACCCAGATGCCTGGATTACAGAGAGCGCTGCAGCTGCAGTCAAGCATGCCTTGTCCATTATATAAAGAGAGATTAAACAAAACCCAGTCCAGGACTCGGGGCCCTGCCCCCCCATCAATTCGAACACTGACACTCAGAGATCCTTTCACTGTCCAGTCTCCACCACCATCATCATCATCAAGCTGTGCTGAGCTCTAACACATAAACATGGAGACTAATCTTTAAACCTGTGGGCGTTAAAGTCTGAGAACAACAAATAAACATAAACGGATTATTTACAGCTAGAATTTACTGTAAATGACAGCTGTTACCTCAGAACAACCTGTTTTACAGAGGCCACACATTTCTGTGACGTTTACATGCTTATTTTTATGTACTCAGGATTAACAGTTTCTATAAACCGAATCAAACAGATTATCATCTGGAGTTAGGATGAAACTAGACAGCTTTCATCACAATCTATACTTGTCTGATTTTATCAAATTACCTCAACAACTAATGCGAAACAAGCCTCAGGAAACTGATGTTAAAAGCTTATGAACAATTACTATCTTACCTGTTGCAGATGGCTCTTTGAACCACAAATGAAATTAGAAATAAACATTTAATTCTGACCAGACTGATGAGCTAACGGCTAGTCCAAGCAGAACTGATGTGGATTACTGTCAAATCCAGCAGCAGATCTGAGCAACATTTTATAATCCTATTTTTTTAATCAGTTTCACATTATTTGTTCACTCTGGGAAAATAATTCTGAGATTCCTTCAAAAAGTGCTAATGCTAGCTACTGCCTCATTTTCACWRTTTAACTTCATTTCTCCAAACTGTGGCTGATCCAGGAGCTCTTCACTGTTTATAATATTTCCACAAAACCTCACTTTATAGCCTCTGAACCGCCCCTTTAGCTTTATAGATTAAAGCATACAAAGTCAAGGCCCGTGGGCCAAATGTGACCCGCCATGGCATTTTATCTGGCCCAAGAGAGCTTCAAAAATGTATTAATCTCTTTAAAATAAGCGTGTGCTACTTTAAAGTCATAAACTACATCTATCTATGTTGATTATTTTGATGGTTGAAGCTTTTTCCTCAAAAGCATTGGTAAGCAGAGCCTAGGACGCAAAAACAACAACAACAACAAAAACAATAAATAAAACTAGAGAAACTGCATTTCCTACGAAAATGCGAGTGTGAATGCTTCGTGCTGAAAACTTAAGCTGAAAGCTGCTAAAATTAAGCTGAAAATATTTAATGACAATAGTGTTATTGTGAGTTCAATTTGAAAAGCTAAAATAGGTTAAAAAAAATTTACCTTTGCAGAAAAACAGAAAAAAATTAGTAAAAATATAGCTGAAAGAGTAGAAAAAAGCTAAAAGATAAAATAGCTATATACAGAAGAAAACAACTGTTTGAGCATAAATAGCTAAAATTAGCTGCAAGGAGAACAAAAAAAGTAGAAAAGAGCAGAATAACAGAAAGAAGCCAAATTTTTGCTGAAAAAGCAGAAAAAAGCTAAAATTAGCACAAAAAGTAGCTAAAATTAGCAACAAAAAAAAAAGTAGCTAATATTATCACATGGTACTTAAAGTGAGCAGAACCAGAACAAACTGTGGGCGCTGTAAAGTTTTAGAAAATTCTTTTCTGGATTTTAAGGATGTTAAAAACAGCTCCATTCATTTTCAATGGCAAGAAAGTGGCTAAAATAGTGAAATAGCTGAAAAAGTATAAATAGCTGAAACACCAAAAGTCCTAGCAGACTTGGTATAAATGAGCTGAACGTTTTGATATATGAATTGTTGAAATAGCACAAAAATTGTGGAATAAGTTAGATGCCGAAAAAACGTACAGAAGAAAAAATGATCTCAATAGTGTGAATGTTGTGAAGTGTTTACACTGATTACATAACCCAAACATTTCCCCATTTTTCTGCTAAAAACAAGTTTACACCCCACCCCCCTGTTATCTGCAGCTGACACCCCCCTCCCTTTAAAAATCTGTAACCATTTCATGGTTTAATTAAAAGAACCTCAGTTTCTTTACCAGCAGCRTCTCAGAGCTTGTTTAGTATCTAGTTAATTCACCCGACCTTTCATTTTGGCCACTCCGTTCTCCTGGTGATGCTGGTCGTTGATGGTCATGTTAGCCAAGGAGGAGCTAACGGCATCTCCAGCACCGTAGCTGTTCGAGGCGTTGTTCATGTACTCCATTGCCGGTCACTGGTCGGGCTGTAAAAAAAGAGCAAAGAAGGATCAGGAGGCGAACCAAAGGTCCAGGACATGTCGTAAACTTCAGGCGTGGAGCAGCTGAGAGGGTGTGAACTGCCTGGATGAAGGGGGGACTGAAGGTAATGAAGGCCCACTTTGTTAGACACTTTGTCTTCCGGCGTGACGAACCCGGTCCATCACCTCAAAACGTAAACAGACACTGTCCCTGTGAAAAGCCAGTTATTTATACACCCTGACGTGGTGCCGGTGCTTCGTTACAGCCTCACAGACAGAAATAGTCCCTTCAGCTCTTCCTGAACAACCTCTTTGACTTTACGGGATCAGAGCCGGTTCAGGGAGTCGTTATTTCCTCCTGAACCACAGGAAACAAACCTTAGACCAGCYAACATCAGAACTGAATTAAATCTGAAAAATAAAGAGGATTACACGTGGGATTGAACCCAATCCCGCGGTTACATCAGCTTGTTTCCTTCCAGCCCTCACACACAGACTCCAACACCCCGGATGTGAGGGCAGCTCGTCGGGCTCTGCGTCCAAATTTCTGTTTGTGGTGGCTTTAGTTTCGCTCTCATGACCACACTGGCACATCAACACGCCGGTGTGAATCCCCCGAGGTGGATCAGGGGGGCTTAAAGCCTGCAAGAGCACCTCAGACTGTCAGGGCAGGGGTCTGCAACCTGTGGCTCTGGGGCCACATGTGGCTCTTTGGTTCCCCTCCAAGGACTCTGGGTAAATAAGTATTTAAATTTGTAACTACAACACACAAAAAGGTTAATTTCTGTCCTTTTTTATGCAAATAAAACGTTTATTATACAAGGAGAAAAACATGTCTTCTTTAACCTGGACTTACAGCACATTCTCATGATTTTTCTCCAAAAACTTCAACATTTTGAAGCAAAATACTGAAAGGAAAAAACATGAAGTGCAGTTTTGCACACAGATAATAAAAATTTTACTTTAAGAGTAGGGATGCACGATAGACTGGTATTGGCCGATATTGGTCATTTTTCAGAATATCGTATCTGTCCGATATGTAAAACTGGGCCGATATTAGAGTTGGGCAATAAATCGATTTAATTTATTAATTTGAATTTGCCATTTATAAAGACTTAAATTAGGGAAAATCTGGATTTTTTCCCCACCAGTGCACGTTAAAATCGAGAATCGAATTAAGGATGAAAAAAATCTGAGATTTTTTTTTTTTGCCATATTGCCCAGCTCTAGCCGATATTAACCTCCGATATTGATTTCCCACATTTTAGTTTTGTGTTTCTGTTTTGGGAGGGGAGATGTTTGGTTGAGCGGCATCTGTTTGATCATGATAGTGATAGTGACGATGCACAGGAATAACTTAAGTAGAGCCATGTAAGAGGTCTGGTTGTTAATTTATAGTATCAAGAAAAGACCCAAGTGTGTTTGTGTAGTATCGGTAAATATGATTATAGGCCATAACAGCAATAATTATATCAATATTGGCTGAATTTTCCATATCGGTGCATCCCTAATTAAGAGTCACAAAAACTAAGAGCTTTAAAAAAAACATCGCAAATTAATTAAACAGAAAATGTGTTAATAAATATGCAATTGCCCAACATAAGCTTTTATTAGAACGTATATGCTTCATTATTTATTCAGAATTTTCCACAGTTTTAGAGACAGATCCGAGTTGAAACTGTATAAACAGGAGTTTCATGTAAAACCACATTATTTTAATATTTGTTTAGCATCATGTTTCAATCTGTCTATCTTTATTTAAAGCTTCAGTCGGTTTTATGGCTCGGGGTGAGTTTTTTTTTTTTTTGTCATGAAAGGAGCAGCATTTGGCTGTAAAGGTTGCAGACCTTGGTGGTCAAAATAAATTATTTTTAAAGCAAATTAAAGGCCAAACATTCCTAACAGACAATAAATTATAAACCGAGTCATTCTGTTTTTATTTTAAACAACACAGTCGTAAAAACAACAGCTTCTAATTAAACTTCCTGCAGAATAAAATGTTTTTGTGTTGAAGTAAAAGATCAGATCATCTTTTTAAAACCCAGCGTGGTGAAATGATGGTGCCAGGCTGTTGACCTTCACACCTCCTGGGTGTTTGAACAGAGATCCGCATACAGCAGCACCGACTGGTACCGACCCGTTATCACACGAAATAAATACATACAKGAAACATTTTTAAATCCACCAGATAAAAAAGAACAACAAACTAAATCTAAGAGAACTTGCTTTTCCACAACATTTAAAGGGAAAACCTCAGGTTTTAAATCAACAAATGATTAACTGTGAAACTTAGCTTTACTTTCTGTATGGATGGATCTGCAGAAAAACAGGTTTTCCTTTAAAAGAAACAAGCAAATAACAAAGAGAAGGGGAGACACCAGCAGAATCTAAATGTCAGAGTGTGTTGTGTAGAAATCCTAATGAATGGAGAGCTCTCACTCAGCTCCTGGACAGAACTGCTGTTGTAGCTTCACACACGACAGAGTCCGAACAACAAGGAGAAAGCTGAACTTTTGCCAAACGAAGACGAGCTCTGAGAGGCCGTTCGCTCAGCATCCGGGAGCTCAGACAGCTGGAGAGCAAACAAACTCCATCCTGATAAGAGCAGGATCCTGCAGCGTACCATGTGTACACACGGAGCTGATCCAGATTAAACAGGGTTAAACTACAGAGGAGCTGCTCCAGATTAAACAGGGTTAAACTAGAGATGAGCTGCTCCAGATTAAACAGGGTTAAACTACAGAGGAGCTGCTCCAGATTAAACAGGGTTAAACTACAGAGGAGCTGCTCCAGATTAAACAGGGTTAAACTACAGAGGAGCTGCTCCAGATTAAATTATTAACCCATATTAGACTTTAGATATGATCAGGGAAATCTGGACAGCTGATTAGAGGCTAAAGTGATCCAAATTGTTTCTTTATGACAATTTAAACACAACTAATCTAATTTTTTTAATCTAAAGTGACCTCAGTCTGAACGGTCAGGTCTCAGTGAGGTCGGGGATATTGATCCAGATATTATCGATACATTAGGCAGTTTAAAGCTCAGAACTCAGCTCGTCTTCAGCCACAGACGTTCAACTGTTTCGTCTTTTTTAAGCTTTCTAGGTTCATCATGTCCTGGATGASTGGGACACATCTGACTAACGAGGATATACCAACGAGTTGGATCAGATCCAAACCAGCATGATGGGATCCATTCTGCACCTGAGCAAGCAGGAAGATCAAAAGGAAACATTGGACCAAACAATCACAACAGATAATAATTTAGTCTTCTCTGACAGTACCGGTATCCATTCATGCTAACACGCTAACATGTGTAGCATCCATGTGTCTTCTGTAAACACAGCGTGCTGCGTGTGACATCACATCTGCTTCAGGACCTGTTAGTGTCTGAGTTAACACTTTAAATTAAAAATATCAACCAACCACAAAGAAAAACATCTGACCTGAGCTTTAAGACCTGCATTTTCTGATTTCAGGTGAATCTGTTGCACAGTTCTGACCCGGCAGTAACTTTGAGCAAATCCCAATTTCTCTCCAGGAACTAAAACAAACAAAATCCATTTATTTTATATTTTCTGTTTAAATTAAAAATCAACAGGTCACTGAGCTTCTCTCTCCCTCACTGGAAATCCACAGATAATTTCCAACAGATGAGTGGTCTCTAAAATCTGGTTCTGGACCCACTGTGGGTCTAAAAACAAACAAACAAACAAAACAAAACAAAACAAAAAAACAGGTATGGGGTCTTGAGATCATCTTTATGAATTAAACTAATGTTAAAACATATTGTCAATAGCATATTTACCCTTAACTAGTGCTTAAAAAAACATGTGGTAAAAAAAAAAACCAACAATTAATTAAGCTATAAATTACCAGGAAATATCTTGAGTCTTTACAAATTTTTGTGGGTTGAAATAAAACCTTGGAAACCTAGAACAAATATATTAAAGTTACACAATATCCCCTTTATAAAACATAGCATAGCTCATTTACATCAAAACACTCACGTAAGTGTTAAAAATTAGTTATACTTTCAAGCAGCAAAACTGGACCGGTAGCAACTGGGCATATTCAGCAATTAGTCCCCATCACTACGAAAATCTATTCTTATACGTGTAACATCTTTATTCCCTGTTAGGGTCAAAAACTGACATAAAATAACAACTAAAAATAAACAAAAAGCGCTAATATTTACCGTGTTCTCCTCAAAACAGCGCCATTTTCGACGCTGAAAGGACCATTGACCTTTCGTAACTGCGCATGCGCGTCAGCATTCATCGCGCATTTGTAATAAAGCATTTTCTACATTATTTAATTATACATTAAAAGCTAAAGCGACAACACATGTAGCCGTACAATATTACAAACTGTTAATACTCTTCATAAATTAAAACAACACAAAAATGAAGTGCTGCAAACAAATCTGAGCATTTAGCACGATTAGCTAACTAGCAAACAACAGATTTGCTAAGTAAATATTATTGCCCGAGTAACAACCTACCTTTAGTTTTAAAGGTTACCGACCAGCTGTCAATAAATCCAATATATCCCATGATAGACAGGTGGAAATTTCCAGATGAAGAAATCKAAAACTTTTTGTCAACCTTCAACTCTATACATGTCCCCAATAAGCTAATCATCGTCATCACCTGCCCATAACCGATATTCCTTCGTAGAAAACATGGTTTGTTTTCTGCAGCCTTGCGCCCTATTTATTTAAAACGCCTAACAGATAGCTCACACAGCAAATTTCATGTCTTCTTTGCAAAGTAAACATTTCCACTATGAGCCCTTCTGATGCTAGCGCAAATTAGCCGGTTAGCAATGATGTGTTCACTGAACCGTAGAAAATGTCGGAATTTTTTATTATCGCCGGTCAAGCTGATGTCGGGCTGTTCTAGTCACACGTCTTTATTTATTTTATTTTTTACCAGGTCAAAGCTTTAAAATTCAAAACTTGTCAACCTAAACAACAAGCTGGTGTCAATAATGACGTAAGTCAGTTTATTTACAACACACTACCAAACATCACAGAAGTCCATGGCTTGTGTTTGGCCTGGATGTGGTTTTGTTCATGATTAGAACTGGAACAAAAGACCCACACATTTCACCTGCTGCAGAAAAGGACCTGGCCTGGCAGCAGGTTTTGTTTTTGCAGCTTCTTGAAGGAGAAAAAGCTGAAAGTTTGTCTGCTGTGGCCCGTTCCTCTCAGGAGCGTGAGAAAATGTGATTCTGGCACAAAGCTGGCCTCTGATAGAAAACCCCATCAGCAGCAGCAGCAGGGTGCTGACCTGGGTCCAGTAGCTGAGCACGCACACACAGACACACAGACACACACACAGACACACAGACACACACACACAGACACAGTAGAGTAGAGGTGTTTGTGTGTTCACGTTTGTTCACGATATCTGCTTTTTTGTGTGAATCATTCACTCTGGTGAGTCAGACTCTGATTTTAGCTCTTAGTTTTCTATGTTTGTGGTAAATTTAGCCTTTGTCTGTGTTTTGCAA